TCTCTCTCTCTCTCTCTCTCTCTCCTCCCTCCCTCTCTCTCTCTCTCTCTCTCTCTCTCTCTCTCTCTCTCTCCCTCCCTCCTCTCTCTCTCTCTCTCTCTCTCTCACCTTCCTGTTAGCTGCGACACCATCTTCACAGTCCAGCACGGCACAGTCGACCTTCAGTTTCGCCACGTTCTCGATCTTATGCCGGTCGTTGCCCGGAACGTACAGCACTGCCCTGCAAAGGTCAGAGTTCAGAGGTCAAAGGGTCACAGCGATAGACCAGGTCAGAGGTTAGAGTGAAACGTAGTCAGGAATCGTGAGAGACGAGGTCAGGGGTCGTGAGAGACAAGTTCAAGGGTAAAGAGAGACAAGGTCAAGGGTAATGAAAGACAAGGTCAGAGGTCAGGAAAGACAGGGTCAACGGCAATGAGAGACAAGGTTAGGGGTCGTGATAGACAAGGCCAAGACAAGAGGAAAGGTCAGGGGTCACAGTAGGCAAGGATAGGCGGACACGCTACTTCACAAATAGATGGCATAGAAGTTAATACACCAACAGATGGCGCTGAAGCTAGTTCACCAACAGAGGGCGCTGAAGCTAGTTCACCAACAGAGGGCGCTGAAGCTAGCTCACCAACAGGGGGTGCTGAAGCTAGTTCACCAACAGAGGGCGCTGAAGCTAGTTCACCAACAGGGGGCGCTCGTGACAGTTTACCTCCGCGGTGTGTACTTGCTGCGAGTGTAGAAATTCCTCGTAAGGTCGGCCGTCGTGCGACGCGTCGGCCGGCAGAGCCCCCTGGCGGCGGACGCCACCAATGCTATTCCCCACGTCATGCTGGCTCGCTGGCGCACTGAAGGTCACACGCCGGGGAAGACGGATCCTGGAGGAAGGTCAAGGTTAAGGTCACGAGCACTTACTTGTGCGAACCAGTCACAATCGTGTCGTTGGGGCCGATGGAACATGGGTCCGTCCACCGGCACTTGCGCCGTTTTAATTATAAAAATCTAAATTGGGCCCAAGCCTAGTTTAATTAGCACCCCAGATTAGTTTAGCACATATGCGAAAACACATTTGCGGGGTCCCAACCTTTGATCCAAATAATTGCATACGTACGTAACCTCGTTAAGATTATTCTTCAATGTCCGATGGAATATTAGTAATAATATATTACACTGGCGTAATTCGATTAGATGGAAGCTGAGCTAGTGGTAGCTCTAGTAGTAGTACTATAGCACACGTGTTGTTGCGTGTGATGTGTTGTAGCGCGTGTGTGTGTGTGTGTGTGTGTGTGTGTGTGTGTGTGTGTGTGTGTGTGTGTGTGTGTGTGTGTGTGTGTGTGTGTGTGTGTGTGTGTGTGTGTGTGTGTGTGTGTGTGTGTGTGTGTGTGTGTGTAGTCTAGAGCTAGAGTAGCTCCAAGAAACGGTATTGCTAGGGTTAGAATAGGGGTGTAGGCCTATTGACGTTAGTCACAGAGCCTGGTCGGGTTAGAGCTAGAGTAGTGGCCCAGTTATAAATCAAATTAACACAGATAGAGATAACAAATTTAGCGATATGAGCTTGCTTTCGTAAATGATTAGCTTATATATCAATGCACTGCTCGTCAGTTTTCACGATCACTGACGTTATAACTACGAGATCAGTCTAAAAGTCGTTGAAATGAGGACAAATAAATAACATTATACTATAACTACCAACGCACGGCTCCACGACGGGTGACGTCACGTATACTTGCGTTTAACCCTTGACCTCTTCTAGGCAGTATATTAGTAGTTTAGTAATTACTTTTCGATTCTAAGCAATAAACGGGCAAATCAAATAATAATGTCACTAGTGTAATGAGTTTAATCGTGCGCCTGACGTATCATCGTGGAAAAATTGATAATTTATTGCTATGACGTCAGTGCGCGCATTCCCTGACGTCATTGCTATACATGTACACAAGCAGAATCAGCAGTATGAAAAACTGAGGCGAAATCTTGACTTCGAATTCGTCAATTTCAGAGAACCAGTGGCAGTCATTACCTACGTTTACGATAAATATTTGTAAGTAGTCCTTATTCGTGTGTTAGCTGCGTTTGTTTGTGTGCGTTGGCTGTGTATGTGACTGTGTGCGTTAGTAGGTGAGTCATGATTTGGAAAATGCCAGTCTAAAACAGGATCGTGAAGAATGATACCAGGGCAGAATACTGACTAGTGTCACTGTTTATTACCGTTAGTTGTACTGTACTATGAACTTTCTGTTACTAGGCAATGGCAGAGGTTTTGTGCGTCATCACAGTATATAGTCCTATATGCTTATACACGTTGTGGTTGTTGTTGTTGTTTCATTGTTTGTGATGGTGGTGGTGGTTTTCTATTGGGACCGATGTTCTCTATCCTTGAACCGGTGTGGCCGATATTGTTGCGGTTGCTGCTGCTGCTGCTGTTATTGTTGTTATTGATATCCACAAGCACTTCATCCACAGGCNAGAAACATTAAGACTTTGGTAGTAAATAGATTTCGTATTTATTTAGCATTATATTTTATTGAAACGCTCCAAGTGCCTGTGACCGCAGCCATTCCAACTGCGCACGTGTGTGCGTGCGTGCGTGCGTGCACATGTACATGAGGGCATGTGTACATGTGCATGTGTGTGTGTGTGTGTGTGTGCATGAGCACATGTGTACGGTGTGTACTGTGTGTGTGTGTGTGTGGGTGAGTGCGTATGTGCGTGCATGCACGTGTAAATAAGTGCTTGTGTACGGTGTGTGCATGCGTGCAAGCGTGCGTGCGTGCGTGCGTGCATGTGAGCACATGTGTACGGTGTGTGTGCATACATTCATGTGCGTGCGTATGTACATGAGCGCATGTGTACGTGTGTAGTGTGTGTGTGTATGTGTGTGTGTGTGTGCGTGCGTGCATGCATGTACATGTGTGTATGCGGTGCGTGCGTGCGCATGTACATGCGTGTGTGCGTGCATGTACATGTGGTGTGTGCGTGCGCATGTGTGTGCGTTCGTGCGTGCGTGCGTGCGTGCCTGCATGTACATGCGGTGCGTGCGTGCGCATGTGCGTGTGCGTGCGCGCGTGCGTAAATTCAGCACGTATACAGACATAGATACGTGCATCTCTCTGCATCTCTCCTCCCAGGCGGCGCGGCGCAGGAGGACGAGCGAGGAGGAGGAGGATGCGTGAGGGAACGATGCCGGGATCGCGGGACCACGTCGACACCGCCCTGCTCATGGACATGGAGAGGCTGCACACCGGTGACCATGACGACGATGACGGCGTCGGCGGCGGCGACGACGTTTACCCGATGTCCGTCATCGTGACGGGGGTCGATGGCGGCGTGTTCGTGGACGAGATGCGACGGGTGAGTACGCGTGTGTGTGTGTGTGTGTGCGTGCGTGCGTGCGTGCGTGCGTGCGTGCGTGCGTGCGTGCGTGTGTGTGTGTGCGCGCATGGGAGCGTGTGCGTGTGTGTGTGTGTGTGATGTATATTAGTCTGATTCTCTGTTTCTCTTGCTATCTTTCTCTCTCTTTCTCGCTTTTGTCTTGCTCTATCTCATTGGCTCTGGCCATTGCGTTCTCTTGCTCTCTCTCTCTCCCTCCCTTCTCCCTCCCCTCTCTCTCACTGTCTCTCTCTCTCTCTCTCTCTCTCTCTCTCTCTCTCTCTCTCTTTTCTGTCTCAGACTCTCTCTCTCTCTCTTTCTCTTTTTCATTGGCTCTGGCTATTGCTTTCTCTTGCTCTCTCTCACCCTCTCCCTTTCACTCTCTCCTCTCTCTCTCCCTCCATCTCTTCCTCTCTCTCTCATCTACCATCCGTTGTTTCAGCACGTCTTTGAGGCCCACTTCCGACAGTTTGATCCCGAGGCGGAGTTCGCTTACCTTCGCAGCTTCTTGTCTCTCCCCCTCTCCCTTCTCCTTCTCTCTCTCTCTCCTCTCTCTCTCTTTCTCTCTGTCTCTCGCTCTATCTCTCTCTCTCTCTCTGTCTCTCTCTCTCTCTCTCTCTCTCT